ATAGGTAGTGTAGTCGGTTTTAATGCAAAATATACGTTTGACTACTTTAATGAGGATCACTTGGGAGCATGATTTTCATGATTTTCAGATAATTTCGAGAGTTGCTTGTCTGGCTTCGTGGGCTCGACTTTCCAGTTGCCCTACACCCCTGCGAAGTCGACGATTCCGCGCTGAGATTTCGTCTGTCCTGCGATAGAGTAATTTTTGAGTCCCAACGCCCAGTCGTCCCAGACGCCCCTTTAGTCCGGTCACTTGACGACCGGCGGGCGAAATGGCACAACCATTGCCTGTCTCAAAGGCTCCGGCTCGGTCAACTCGACCCGGAATGATCAGCCGATGGGCAAAAAACCACCTTCCCAGCCGAGTTGAATGGGCAGACGGCACATCGTAGCCTCAAGTGCTCCCCTTCGACACTCTCCCTTCCCCCACATGCCGCTCCCTTTCTCCCAGCCCCATTTGCCCAATCCGTCCATCTCACTGTAGGCCACACCAAACAGCCTCCCCACCCCACAGGCCAGAACAGGCCGGCGTACACAATCCGTGCCTACCTACCGGCGCCATCTGGTGAGTGTGGAGAAGAGCGTTCGGCCGAACGAGGCCTTGAGAATTCGTCCTCAGGGGCTTGCGATGCCCTCAAGTGGGCTGGCAATCACTTGGTCAGCCAACCAAGTCTAACCCGTGAGTTGCACAAACTGACAAATCGTCCCTATGTGCAATCGGAAAACGCGAAATGGCGCATTCACATAATAACTCACACTCACTTATATACACCTATTTCACAATCATCAAACACATTCACAAACATATACATGATATATTGACACACTTACATACACACCTTCGAATACACATCATATTTTAAACTAACCAAACACGCTCATATAAACACATTCACAAATTCATGAATATTCACATACATGTACATAACATATTAGCACACGCATACACACATGCCAGGCTAATAAACACAAAAATGCCACAATTTCTCTCTCTTTTCTCTTTTAGCTTCTCAAGCCGCAATCTACTCAATCAAGACGATTGATCGCGTGCCGGCGGAATTCGATTAAGCTCAACGCCATATCTGCCCATGTAGGCTCTTGCTCTCTCGTGGTCTCGCATCTTCTTCCTCCGCGTCCACACCAAACAACTTGAGCATCCTCCTGGCCCGTCGGTGTCGAAAAAGGGTACATGGACTCTGGCGCCCCTTGGATCGGGGAGATGGGCACGAGAGGCTCTTGACGAAGTGGACATTATTGCAACCGTCTTAGAGTCGAATTGAGTCAGGTGTCTAGCTTGCCACCAGCTCAGCAACCGACTGCTACACTCTGTCACGCATACATATGCACTTTTAATCACACACACCCACACATACACCTGTTTGTTCATATATATAAGCACATATTTACATATGCAGATCAGGTACAAGGAAAGACTAACACATTTTCACTATGAGTAGGTTTCTAGGCCGTCAACCCTTAAATCACCTTAAGCGACCCAGGGCGACTGAGCTCATATTCACAGACCAGCAAGGACGGCATGTGTAAATATATGCGTGAACAGGGCGTCATGGTTACAATCAGAAAGCGCTACTACACCACTCCAAGTAGCAGAGTTAGTGTCGAGTGGGTTGACACTTAAGACCCGAAAGCCCTAGTGGCCACCAGAGCTGGCCTGCGCTCCGATAAGTGATTAGTAAGTAGCCCGAATACAGCATTCAGTAGTCATATATCAGTAGTCCACTTTCATGAGCCAGCACTTAGTGTTTAGAACACAATAATTAGTATCTTCGCTTATAAGTAGACTTTTAAAACTACCAGTAAATCAGATATATGAGATGTATTCACCCCATTTGATTGAAGGTGATAAGGA